ATGACTTAGGACAAATTACCCAGTCTTATTAAATACTTCATTGAATAAATAAAAATAATAATAAAACCAACATTCTTTTTGAATTATTGTGAGGATAAAGTAAAGTGAGCACATGAAAATAATGTAATTAGTAAAGATCTATATAGAGATTGGTTAATTTCATTAGTAACACAATTATCACATTATTACCCCAATAATATTTCTGGTTAATGCATATGTATTTGTGGTTAATACATCATAATCATTGAATGTGATTTATTCCTGATAGAACCTATAATGATAAAATCCTCAAATGACCTGGGAGTGGCTATCAGCCTTTTGCCTCTGTGGCCGGATTACTTGACAGAAACAACTTAGAACTTATTTTGGCTCATGGTTTTAAAGGTTTCACTCCATGGTCACCTGGCTCTGTTGCTCTAGGCCTGAAAAGAACTGAAGTCAGAGCATCATGGAAGAGGGATGCGCCAGAGGAAATCTGTTCTGCTCATGACAGCAGGGAAGCAAGAGACGGGGGAAAGGGCCTGGGATAAGAGAAACCCTTCCAGGACAGGCCTACTTCCTTGAACTAAGTTCTACCTCCCAACTGGGTTATTAATCCACCAGTAACCTATCAAGTGGATTAATCCACAGAGGAGGTTAGATCCAGTCATTTCCCATCTCTGAACACTGATGCCTTTGGGGCCAAGCCTCCAACTACAGGATCCCTCCAGGGACATCCCAGGTCTAAACTATAACAAAGGGGTTTACATATTTTTAAAAAAAGATTATTCAGATGTTTAGAGACCACTTACAAAAAGCAGTCCCAAGAGATCCTTCAAGGTGCAAAGAACAAAGCTACTGATGACACGTGAACTCAGTCAGAACTTGACTTGAGGTTTACTAGTAGATTGGAAACTCAGTGTGTTAGCTATTATTAAAGATTCAAAGGGCAAAGCAGCTTGCTATTTTTTTTATTTGGTTCTTTTAAAGAAAGATATTTTTCTGAGTCCCAAATTATCAGGATAACAACAACTTTTCAACAAATCTTATGACAAGAAATATGGCTACTATTTATATGACAGGAACATAATGAGTGAAGGAATTTTATGATTAATCCTTCAAATGGCTACAAAGACATTGGAAGAAAATAATTAAAATATATTGCTTAAATATATTTAAATGTTATTTAATATATTTTTATATGAAGCACCAGAATTTTTTTTTTCCTCTACAACTGGGCATGCCCCATAGTAACCAAAGAAAAGAGATAAATGTATAAACAAGGTGTTGGTAGCTATAAGTACCTTTTCTGCTTTGGACAAATTTCATTACATTATTATATAGCTGGTTCTTATTCAACATGTAATTACATTTCCCTTCTCTCAGCAAGCTAGTAAGTTTACTTGCCACTCAGTTATTACTGTGGCTAAAGTGGTATTTTGTAAGTCTAGAAAATCAAGAACTATTGCTGGAATTATATGTTTTACTTCTTAGTCATTAAGAACTAACCTAGGTTGGTTCCACAGTTTAGCTATTGTCAATAGATTTAAAAAAATGTGCATATAGACACAATGGAATATTACTCAGCAATAAAAGAGAATAAAATCATGGCATTTGCAGGTAAATGGATGGAGTTAGAGAAGATAATGATAAGTGAAGTTAGGCAATCCCAAAAAAACAAATGCCGAATGTTTTCTTTGATATAACAAGGCTGATTCATAGTCGGGTAAAGAGAGGGAGCATGGGAGAAATAGACAAACTCTAGATAGGGCAGAGGGATGGGAGTAGGGAGGTGCATGGGGTTAGAAATGATGGTGGAATGTGATGGACATCATTATCCAAAGTACATGTATGAAGACATGAATTGGTGTGAATACACTTATGTATACAACCAGAGATATGAAAAATTGTGCTCTATATGTGTAATAAGAATTGTAATGCATTTTGATGTCATATATAAATTTTAAAAATTAATAAAAAAAAACTAACCTAAGAAAGCCCAGTTTGGTGGCCCATGTCTCTAAACTTAGCTACTTGAGAGGCAGAGGCAGGAAGAATGCAAGTTGGGCAACTTAGCAAGACCCTGTCTCAAAATAAAATTTTTAAATGGGCTGGAAATTAGCTCAGGGGTAAAGCACCCCTGGGTTCAACCTCCAGTACCACCAACCAAAAATCTAACCTGAGATATTTATAGAAATGATTTTTCAATGTGACCAAGAAAGAAAAACAAGGTATTCCCTGGATTAGCAAAATCCGATTCATTTTTCAGAGTAGTGAGGTTTTTTTCATCCTCGGATTATTTTCACATTGCCCCTTGGTGGTATGAACAGGGTATTAGTGTTAGTAGTGACAGACGTGTTATCAAGCGTGGTCACTGTTTCTCATCCACTGTCATTGCAGCAATCGCAGTACTTGTAGTAATAGGAGTTGTGATTTATTTTAATGTTACAATAATGAAAGTGTGAAGAACTCTATTGTTTTTACTGTTAGCAAATTCTCTTGTATTTTTACTTAGATACTATTTGAAATTAAATTCTTGAAATATGGGAAATCATAGTGCTGAAAAACTTTTTTTTCTTATTAAAGGAAGCAGTTATTAATAATTCCCTGATCCCAAAACTGGATTATAGATAACAGAGAGTAATTCCTTGCCAAATCTATATAGAAATATTGAGGGACAAATGTAGATATCTTATTTATTTTAAATATTCACATTAATAATTATATGTGTAGAATCTTAAAAAGTTTATCTCACACAAGTAGAGAGCAGAATAGTGGTTATCAGAGACTGAGAAAAGCAGGAGAAGGAGGAAGAGGTAGAGATTAGTCAACATGTCTAATGCTACAGTTAAAATGGGAAAAATGAATTCTGGAGTACTAAGGCCCAGTATGGTGCATAAAATTAACTATAATGCCTTGTCTATCTAAAAATAGGAGATTTTGAATGTATGCAGTACAAAGAAATGATAAAAGTTTAAGGTGATAAATATGCTAATTACAGAGGTGAGCATTACCCAATATATACATGAACTACAACATCACATTGTACTTCATTGATACATACAGATATTATGTGGCAATAAATTTATTTTTAATGAAAGAGAAAAAAAAGAATTAAGCTTCTGAATTCATTGGTGGTGCTACATTTTGCAATTCTTTAATTCTGGGAATTACCAAAGCTTTTCTTAAATAGTTGTTTCGGTGATTAGATTTTATACCAATTGAAAATTATTTTCCATCCTTGCAATTGTTGCCCTTTGTACTAAGCATATAAAGAATATAGAGCAGGAAAATAATACCTGGAGCTATTCTCTCTGAACGAACTTTCAGAACCTAATTCAACATATTTCTTAAAGATTATACCTGTAGGCTTTCTATATCCATTTCAATCATGAAATTATAAATGTTTAATGGTAAAGATAGGAAAAATAAATCATTTGCCCAGATAAATATTTGCTCTTCATGTTCATAATTTTAAGGATGTGATGTTGGACTTTGAACATTAAGGATATGAATGAAATTCTAGAAGGAAATATAATAAATGCAATGATTATAATATCATAAATTGCTATTAGTAAAATATATTTGTTTTTAACAAAAAATGCTCAAATCTATAAACAACTAGATTTGATTCTAGAATGACTTATCTAGAAATTACATGTTAGAATTATTTAAACATATTTTTAAAAAGTAGATGGACATAATAACTTTATTTATTTATTTATTTATTTATCTTGTGGTGCTGAGTATCAAACCCAGTGCCTTACATATGCTGGGCATGTGCTCTACCACTGAGCCACAAATCCAGCCCAAGAATTTAAAACCGAAAAGAGCACAATATTCCAATGAAATCTTCGTTCCTGGCATAAAGTAAGATAGCAAAGTTTAGCATTTTGTGAGTCTTCAATACTACACAGTTTTGTAAGAGTTTTTAAATATCTTGTGTGTTTTATTAATTCTTGTGAAAATTGAAAAATGATCTATAAGAGACATATCTAATTAATTCATAATTGCTAAAACATTACAATTGAATTGCCAAAAATAATTTACTTCACATTTTATTTTTTAAAATTGTGTATGCATTCCCATTTGCATGTTTATTCTCAATGTGTGTTCCTTAAGTTCATATTAAAATCAGTTAGCATTCCCTGAATGGACTCTTCATTCAGGCAGCCACAGACCCTGGAGGCAAGAAGCCAGTATAGGATTACCAATTTGTCATGGATAATCCACAAAGTAAATAAATGTAGTGTGAATAATTGAAAGTGGGTTAGAGTTGTAACACAGTAGCTATTGAAAGTTAATTCAAAGCTAAGTCCTCCATAGTAAATTCCCTCTCATTCTCCAACTGCTAAAATAGGCTGACACTGATAACTGTCTAAATGAAGAGGCATTTGTACATCCTCAATAATTGACCATCTTATCTGCAAACATAGATCTTATCTTCTTGATGTGGTGATAGTATTATAAAGGCTTGAGTAATTTGAGAAATTTGAAAGCTTTGTCATGGGTATTTAGCCACTTTCAAAAAAAAACATTTCTGCATTTTATCAAGAAATGTGATTTCTTAAACTTCCTACACTGAGATTATAGCTTAAGAGAAACCAAAAAGCTATTTTGAAAACAAATTCACTTCTACAAAGGACTTGTACATTAGGCCAGTGTTAAAATATGAAGGGACTAAGAATAAAAAATTAAATATTTGAATTACTTATAGTAGTATAATAGCATTTCTCAGCCAAATAATCTCTTGGGACCATAGGCACTTTCCTCACAATTAAAATTGCACCTATCACAGAATTATGATTTAATGGTCTGCAAGTTACTTCCAAACCATATGAGAATTGTTACTTTATCCAGACCACCTGTTGCCAATCAGACATTATAGATATTGTGTTCCTTTTTCATATAGCTACTATATTTTATTTCCAAAATAGGATTACAATTGTGTTGGAGGCATTCTAATTACAATTTTATCTGAACTTGTTTATTTAACATATTTTCTATTTTTCTAATCATAGGTTTCATATACACTGGAGAAGTTGTGCATCGGATGCTAACAGCCACACAGTACATAGCACCTTTAATGGCAAATTTTGATCCCAGTGTTTCCAGAAATTCAACAGTTAGATATTTTGATAATGGTATGTATCGCATAGCCTACTTTTTGTTGAATTTATATTTTTAAACATCAAGCTACAGAATAATGTTAATATTTTTGTGGGGCTTTTTTTCATTTTTGTTCTTGTTGTTTTGATTGATCAGATTTGTAAGTCACTTGATGCAAATGTCCTGAAACAATAAATGTTGTATGGTTAATGTTAAAGATGTGATGTAAAGTACATGGTCAAATGACATTCATTCATTTATTCCCTCAATTGCTCATTCAACAATGTTTATTGGCTTCTGTTATTCACTATAATAAATGAGTTCCTATAAACAGTACCTCAGACAAAGCAAATGCATTTATTTGCTACTATTTTTAATAAGTCCTTCCTATTTAAAAAAAATGCAAGTAAGTATAATTCTGCTGATTCTGATCTTCAAGTAGAGGTGTCATATGGATATTAAATTCCCTAAATTTATGAATTCTATGTATCTATAAGATGAGCATACCTTTTTAAAAAGTAAGGTAGTAGCTATTTAAAGTATACTTAAGAAATAAAAATTTTCTCATTTTAAAATATGAAATAGATCTTGTTAAGACTGACCAAGTGTCTTGACTTTGTTCTATCCCTGTATTTCTTTTGGGAACATACAAGGTAGAGAAAATGTATAATGTGCCATTAAATGCTACTAAATAACAAATTCAAGATCTTGGAGGCATAAATGAATTTTTAGCTATACATTTCCTTGGCAGAGAAAAAAAAATATAGGCAAAGAAGATTTTTGCACTGGAAAAAAATAAAGAAAAATTTCTGTACTCTTTAGAATACAAAAATAATATATATTTGGTCAAATGACAGTTTCATCACTGAAAATAGTAGACTCCTTTAGGGTAAACAAATTTATTTCTACTTTTGTCTTATTTTTGGTGTTCAAGGAAGAAATTACTAGCAGGTGATATAGATTAGATGGTGACAGTAGCCTTAGGGAAAGATGATCATTTTGCAAAAAAAAAAAAAAAAAAAAACCAATCACAATGAGTGAGGTGGAGCCATAGCAGAGGTTAAAATAGCAAAAGAAAAAGAAAAAGGAAAAAAAAAAACTAACCTTACTTAGATGGAAACCTTGGGAAAACCACAGAACAATCTGAATGACAGCAAAATCTATTCAACATTAAATGACTATATATATATATTAGCCATAATAATTATTTCTCCCTATTTTTTCAGAACTGATACATTCTATCAACCCTTCTACCTTGTTTGTTGTTGTTTTAATTCTTGAGTTTCTAATGCCTGAGGATGTTTGAGTAGATTTTAAGTATACTTGAGGCATAATTATAGCCCAAAACTTTATCTGAAGCTCATTTCATGATCTCACACAGAATCATATTAGGCATCCATTACAAGTAAATAAGAAATGACTTGATAATAGTTCATTATTAGCTAAGCCCCACCACTTACTAGGTTATGTTAAGGACATTCATTCATGAGCACAAGATTTTATTGACTAAGTTTGTATATTATTAGCATCAAAATCATAGTCATATTAAATAACTTCCTCCCTTATATATTCTCTCATATACTTTGTCCCTATGATGTTCTTAATATTTCAATTTTACTTTCATTTAAATAACTTTTAAAATTTAATGTATACCACTCCAACTGAACCCTAAATTCCTTGAAAACAAAGACTGAGTATTCTTAAGAAATTTTTTTCTAGGACTTGGAGTTAGGACTTCATAGGCACTTAGTCACAATGAATATTCAATGAATGAATAAATGAAAAATTAAATATGTAAGATGAGTTTTTACTTTCTAAGAGTTATAAAAGTATAACTCAAGAAGTAATATACTTTTACCTGTTGAAATAATTTTTTGTGTAGCATCTAGTAGAAATATTGAGTTTCTACAGTATTATATTTAAAGCTGAAAATTGCTGTTTTTATTTTAGTGAGTGAAACACTTTTAAATATTGAAATGCTTTTCACAAAGCCTTGAATTTTACATAGCAACTTGATGAAATGTTCTCAACATCCATTGGTAAGGATCATTGATAGAATGTTTGATGATGGGAAACTCAGCATTTAGCCAAGCAAAGCATCTCTAGAGGAGACAGCAGCAGATTAGAAAATTTCTTCTTAGAAGATATTTCTGTAATATTAAAAGCACTAGATTTAAAAAATTATGAGTTGATGCTTCCAGTTGTTACAGCTATCCTGAATGATAATGGCTGTCTGAGTCACAGAATATTAATGCACAAAAGGAGAAAGCTATTAAAAGTAATCCTTTTTATTAGAAAAATAATCTGATGACTCATGGGTAGCAAACAATAACAGTATAATTCTTACCAGTGATAAAAAGCCTTATCTAGCAGAGAATCTGAAAATTTCAAGTTGATAGTGACTTTAAATAACATTAGTTCATTCTCCTTTGGTTTTTATTTGGGAGATAACAAAGTTGCCATCCATTACTGATCAGGTAATTTGATTATGGTTAGGGAAGTCCAGCTTCAGGAAGCATTTAAGATGGGTTAGCCACTCATGTGATCTAGGTGCTTAGATAACTTCAGAGAAGCAGCTCAGATTGGCTGTGTCAGGAGGTGGATCACCCAGCTCTTTGGAAATGTGAATTCAGTTCTTTAGTTCATGGATTTCTTTAGGCTGTATATTCTGCTGCATCGTAATTGTCCAAGGAAAGGTTTTCCCTGTCCACTTATCTAATGCATTGCATGGAAAGCAATATTTTAAATAAACTCAGAACAGAGATGCTTTGCTTATTTTAAAATTTAATGAAAACATTTATACTCAGTCATCTTTCCATTGGTATTATATATACTGAAATCCACAACTGTTGGAGAAGTCATGTGGTAACATAATATAAAACAACATTTGCAAACAGTGTTATTTTTTGAAACTTGCTACTAACAATATATTAGGAATAGCATTATTGAAATCTAGCAGAGAATCAGATCTAGCAGATCTGATATTTAGTTTATTTATGTTAACCTCTCATTTTCACAAAGAAGTTAAGGTCACTATCTTTACTTATATTAAATTCAGAAATTCCTTGAAGGCAAGAATTATATACTTTTCATGTTATAAAAGAGTCAACAGGTTTATGCAGGTTAATTGTGTCCACGCTTACACAGAAGGATCTGTGGAGGCAGGACAGGAAACGAGATCTTCTGCCCTCTACTTCTTCTCTGCACTACCAGGATGTGATAGAAATTAGAAAATAAGGAAGGACCAGAACTTGAGGGTCTGAGATATATGAGGAAAACAAAAGAAAAGAAAGGCATTTCATGATCAGAAAACCCTTGTACTTATAAAATTATGGGATGTTTCCTGACTGGCATTATCTGCTAGCTTTTTCCAATTTTTCCAAAAATGATAGCATAGTTCTATAGGTGCCCATGGAGGGAAAAGACCTGAGTGTTCATCCATTACAATGATATATGTTGGATGTTTCCTGTGGCTAAAAGCACCAAGGTCCAGTTCAAAAACATTTTTCCCCCACTTATAAAGTTTTGCCTCTGAAGAAATGCATTTTTATACTTAAACATTCTTTAGAGATTTCCAGTTGGGTATTCAAAATATTTTAACACTTGTATTTAAAGTTGTCAATTAGTTCAGAGAAATTACTATCAGCACAAAATGGTTGCTGGAAATTAGTTCTGCCACACAACAGAGGGGAAAAAAATCAAATATGTTCTGCCAGGGGATATGTTTTACTCTTTTAGTGCTATGATTTTCCTTTGTAATGCAACATTTTTTGGAAACAAGATTGTTAACAGAAGAGAAAATCTAGCATGTAGAGTTAAGCAAGTCTTAGTTGTTCTGTTTGTTTGCTTTAAAAAACAATAGATAATATACAGTGTCTGTCAAAACAAAATATGAATTCTGACTGCTAATTATTAATCCATTTCAACATAACACTTCATGTTAATAGTTTCATAGTGAAGTCTGGCAGATTGAGTCATCAGAATATAATATATAGCACTGAAGTTTCATCCCAGGGTACTGCAAGGGGGCTTCAGAAATCTTAGTCCAGGTCCCTTTAAGCTAACTTTCAGCCTCTGGAGGCAATCCAACAAAGACAGAAATGCAAGGCATTTTGAATCAAAGAAAATTCCCATTGGTGTTAAAGGGGCTTCTTCAGTGTGGAAGAGTATATTTCTAAGAATGGATCTCTTATTGTCTGATTTTGCTTTCAGGTCTTTTATAAGTAAGTCAAGAATGTTTTTAATGTGTTTCTTTCTCATCATTTGTCAAAAGTATTTGAAGTTCATTTGATCAATTTGAGCTGGGTTTTGAAAGTGTCTCATGGAAATTTAAGCAAATAGTACACATTAACATTAATGAAATTCCTAAGGCAAAATTCCCCCACACTGGGTTGGCTCAATATTAACCTCAGTATGAGGTTAGATTTTTCACCAAATATTTAGAGAATCTTCCAATGCCATCTCAGTAACAAAATTCCAATTAACCACATAAAACTGAAATGGCACAACTACAGGATTTAAAGGCTAGATCAATGTTTGTATGAGTGTTCCCACCAGAATTAATTCGTGTATTGTTCTCATTGCCTTTCTGCCTGTTGCCTGGGGTTGGTAGGCACAGCCCTCGTTGTCCAGTGGGACCACGTTCATCTCCAGGATAATTACAACCTGGGAAGCTTCACATTCCAGGCAACTCTCCTCATGGATGGGCGCATCATCTTCGGATATAAAGAAGTAAGTGATGTAATGTACTGATATTCTACCTGCTCCTTGACCTTGACTGTGACCCTTTTTCTTCAAGTGTCAAGTACAGGATATTTCAGCCATGAACTTCAAATAATTTTCTTACCTATGGGTTTCATTTGCTTAATAGAGAACCATTTTGTTTTGTGTTTTAATCTTCTGGGTAGTCATGATTGTCCATTTTGGGGATATTGTTTTAGTTTGTATTCTGAAGTCATTGGCATTCTGACCCACATATTTTATATAGTTATTAAATAATTGTAGTGTTATTATAGTGAAACATTTCTAAGAAAAAAATTATAATTTTCAAATATTTCTCATCTATACCTGAAAGTTTAGTTTTATTGTTTTTTTAATTGCTTTGTCAATTTCTGTGACTTTTTTTTTTGTTGTTGTTCTGATGCCTAAAGCATAAGTAAACATGAACACATGCGTAGCTCAGTGACCCAATACTGAGAGTTCCAGGACAACTGTGCCTACAATCCCTTTAAAGTTTATTGAAATCTGATAGGAATGATTAATTAGAAGCCTCAGTAACAGGAAAAAAAACAAAGGAGGAACTTAAACCTATGGCTTGATTCATTTAAAAAATGGAAAAAACTAAAGAAATGAAAATTTACTAAATTGTAACAAGTTTTTTTTAATGTTTACTCTAGAATAAAAGTGTGTTTGATTTCAAATTCTTTTGAGAGTGTAATTAAGGTCTACTATACAAAGAATATAGGAAAAAAAGTTCCAAGAACTACAGATGTAATGTTTTAGGCAGTCAGTAGTTAGGAGACAGATCCTGACAATGTAAATTAATAGTGGGTGTTATTAACCCATAGATTAATGGATATTTATAATAATACAGATGCCATAGCTTCTTTTCAGTTGAGAAGTCATAGTTTTCTTAGGAAATAAATCCCTAATTATAAAAAAGAATGTTGATACTCAAGAAACTATCTGTTTTGGTTTAATCTTCTGAAGTCATCTATTCCATAAAGTAAAGATAGTTCAATTTCTACTAAATAGGTCAAGTTCTGAAAGTCTACTGACCGTATCAGATGCTTCTCTTCGTTTGAAGAGATTTCCCATGTGAAACTTTTTTTATTTTTAATTCACTGGGGGAAATAGTGTAAATAAAATATAATATAGGATGTATCCTATTGTATACTTCTTCACTCAGAGCTGTTTTGATATTATAGCCTACTATATTTTTGTATCATATTCTCTAGAAGTTGAGAGAAATCTCAAAAGGACTCACTCATTTCTAGTTTTCCTTTTAATCTACTATATTGCTGCGATGGCAAAGTGACCTTTAGGAATGTTGGTTTTCAATAGTTGTAACCAACAATGGTAAAGTTTCTGGAAAGATCAGGGTCACTAAGTGTAAAGTCTTAGATCTGACCAACTGCTGACTTGGTCAAAACACAGGTTTGTGTTCTCATTGTGGTCTCTCTCTTTCTAGTTTTTATTGTCAAAATTGTCATTTTTATTTATGCTGCTCTCAGATGGTCTCACATTGCTGAGTGTGTTGATTCTATTCTTCCTTTGTTCTGGGGCCATTGTAAAAACTGTTTTTTCTTCACTTTAATCAAAGAAAAATTTTCCATTATGGTTTTCCTGTTTGGTCACAGAGAATCTTAAGCTGATAGGCAGCTTAATGTTGTTTTGGTGTTTCCAGACTGCTGTCCGGTTAATTATTTACCCTCTGTACTCAAAGTTCAAAGAAATCATTTTTATTTTATTATTTGCCTTGTTATCCTGTCCTCAGCCCTGATCAAAAAGCAGTTTCTTCTTCCCTTTTCTGCTTCCCCCCCCCCAATAATTTAACAATACATTTTATTTAGCTGAATTTTTATTTGTCATCTTTGTCAAGGTCACAGTTTCTTTGCATTTGTGGTGAGAGCCAGATGTTCCTAAAACTTTTAGAAAAATGTTTAGAATCATGTGTTAGCATTACATAATACTTTGTGTGATTTATTACCCTTTACAAAGTGCTTACACATAGATTACAGTGTCCGTTTGATCCACAATCCTTATAGTCTTAGTGTTCTTAATGTGTTCTAAAAGCACCAGCACATACAGGGTGTTCAACAAATGTTTGTGGCTTAATATGGAATTAGGTTACACATGATTATTTTATAGCTAAGCAAGCTGAGGCAGAGCCATTAAATGACATGTTTGAGGTCACAGAACAAGTTAAGGTCAAACCCAGGAGGAAAAGCCTTAATTCAGTGATCCCAAGGCATCTCAACCTTTGTTCTCTCCCAAGGAGATTATGTGTATCAACTCACAAATCAGAGCCTTGTTTTTGTTTTCTAATAGGTATTTCTCAATGTTTTCTGTTTAATAGTCTTTTGACTAGACCCCATCATATTCCACAAATACAAGTATACTCAGTAGAGGTATTCCTACTTAATTTGTCAAGCGGACCAAATTGAAGGAACATAATATAAGAAGTAATATTTTGTGTTCCTGTCCAGGCTAAAATTACAGAACTGAAATTAGAGAGAGCAAAGTAAGTGTGATTCCTTTTATAATAAATTGCTCCTTGCAAGCCAATGTCAGCTTTGTTCGATGGTATTATCTTTTGTGTGAGAAGAAAAATTATTACACAAAACACAAAAAATACAGGATTTGGTTAAACTGTAGATTAAAATTTGCAATTTATGAGATAAATTTATTAAAACAAATTTATCTTTCACTGCTCTCAGATGATTTCATCCAGCATTTAATTATTTTTCGTTTAGTAACTCTCAGCTTGCCAGCCCCACAGTAACCAAATGACCTCCAATTGGGCCATGCTCCTAATGTAGTTATTTTCCCAACATGATTGTTTTTCACAGTGCAGACTAAAGAGTGATCAAGGAATTAGAAAAGGCATTTTTTACTCCTGATATCATCTGACTTGTGATGGGATTGAGATAGGGAGGTGTCACCACTGTGTTCCTTCACCAACATCCAACTGTCCTCTGTGAACCTATGGTGAGAGGTGTAATGTAAGCATGAACTCCTTTAAATAATTAAGTCATTTCTTCCAGATTATAGCTTTATTTTATTCAACCAAATATTTGAAATCCTATCTTAAGTTATAGACCCTTATTGTAAGACAGCCATTTATTTTAGTTAATTTTTAAAGATATAATTACTTAGGATGAAGTCTAAAGTCTTCATCAGAAAGAAAGATACCTTAACATTTTCATTTCTTTCAAATTTACCAACTTTTCACTGTAGTTTACCCTTTCTTTCAATTTTATTATATCCATTTGTGTCTTTTACCAATTAAATTGTGGATTTAATCACCTGATGAAATCGAAAATGTTGTCCTCTATTTCCTTGAATATATTAATAACAGTTCTCTTAAAGTTTGTGACTGATTAATATCTGGATTTCCTGTGAATCTGTTTCTATTATCCATTTTCTTATTTTCCCCCCTCTGCACTTTCATTCATTGATCTCTTTGTGTGCTAAGTATTTTTGGACATCATTTACAAGATGCTAGAGAGATGCTCTTGAAGTTGCAGATACTATTTTCTTTCTCTAGAAAGGATTTACTGTTTTGCTTGTTTGTTTCCAGTTAGGATAGGACAGATTAATTTTATCAGTGAAGGGCTAAGCTCACGCCATGTTGAGCATCTGTCCTTGTGAAGATAGTACACTTCTGATTAGCCCTCACTCTTAGAGTGTAGTCCTTTAGGGATTTCTACCAAAGGCCTGAGTATTGATGGAGCTTTCACCTGAATGGCCTTGAATGCCTAATCTTTCCTCAGATCCTGAAGGCAGGCTGAAGTTCCAGTTACCTTCTTGGTCTCTAAGTCTTCCTTATTACTGGGAAAATGCCTTTGATGGGTGATGTTTGTTTTGCTTCTGTAGTTAGTTTCCCTTCTCTTCTCAATGCTCTTGACATTTTGAGTCCTTGCTCTTTGTTAACCACCTTATGTCTTCAACTTTTCTTATTTTGTCCATCTTTCTTGCTCGATCTAAGTTGTAGAAATGGTGTTATGCAACTTCATCTGCCAATTCACTTTTAATAACAACCTCCGAGCTTGTTTTAAAAACTTAAAAACTAGCATTTTTGTAGCACTTCCTATACCCCAGGCACTGAACTCTGCTTAAACTTGATCTCACAATCTTATGAAAATCAAGAGGTAGCTACTTGTCATTTACAGAGAAGAAAACTGAAATACCCAGAAAGACTAAATAGCTTCCCTATAATTAGTGAACAAAGATCAACTGAAAAAATAAAACTCCAGAGCCTATAAGTCTGACCCCTATACCTGCATGCTTCCCTGAAACTCTTTTTCTCTGTGAATGAACTGGTTCTCTCATTTGGTTTTCCACAGCCATCTTTCTTGGGTGGTCATTATCATACTGATTTAGCAACTTGGGAGTAAGGTAAGAGTGATTTGCCTTCTAAAGCATTTATCTTATTAATTTTTAATTTAAAAAAATGGAAAGAAGCAGCCTGGTGCAGTGGAGCCCACCTATAATCCCAGTGACTTGGGAGGTTCAGGCATGAGTAACATAAGTTCAAGGACAGACTCAGCAATTAGCAAGGCCCAAAACAACTTAGCAAGACCTTCTCTCAAAATAAAAAATAAAAAGGGCGGAGGATGCAGCTCAGTGGGAAAGCACCCACCTGTTTCAATCCCCAGTACCAAAAGAGAAAGAAAAGAAGAAGCTGTACCTGTGTTAAAAGAAATAGCTCATTTTCTAAGAAAGTAGAATTTGGAAACTCAAATTCACATTTCCTAATCTGTTAATAACTAAGTATGACCCTAGAACCCAGAATCTTTATATTATTTTAACTGCTGTTGAATAGTGATGATTACAATGGATTTGAACTGAAATTCCTGATCTATTGATGATACAAGGAAAATTTTTTTATTCCCAAAACATTAGAGATTTGAAGTCAAATTCTTTCCAGTCCTTGGTGCTGCCTATCACAGCACACCATCACAGTTTTCAAGCTACACTTCCTCTGACCTGCTTCATCTCTCTTCACC